AGTTGAGACGCTTTGGAGAATTGGTATCTACTGCGGAGCGAGTATAGTGTTATTGAGTAAACCAAGAAGCTAAGGAAGGGGTAGCAGCGTGTCTCGAATATCTTGCTTGCTTGACTTGGTTGTACGCCGCCACACATAACGTCATGCCACGGCACGCTGACAGGGGTTGACGACGCGCAAGTGGAGCATCCATCTTGATCTCGAACCTGGAACCGTTAGCCTGCACTGACGTCGCGGGTAGCCCGTCACTGGTGCTGATAGTCGTGTTTGACGTTTTGGACTTCGATGTTCGCTCGTGTGCGAACTGTGGAAGATGTCGCCTGCTACTGCTACGAAGAAGCCGGTCGTTACCAAATCGCCGGCTGCCAAACCCCCAGTGAAGAAGGCGACGGCTCCAAAGCCGACCCCAGCAAGCCAATCAGCGTCCAAGCCGCCGGTACCAGCTGCTGTTAAGAGGAAGAAGAAAGATGACCTCGGTGCTGGATTACGAATCTCGAAAGACAATGTCGAAGCGCATCCGGCTGGACCACCGCGCTTTGGCGAGTTGACACAGGCAGAACGGGCCTTCACGTTAGCCTCGACGTTCTTGTCCGGCGTTCTGGCGTAAGCACGTCCGTGTCCACCTCCAGATACACCCAACTAACACCTGACAGTATAAGCGCATCACAATTCCTAGGCGCACCGCTAAAGTTGATTGACCCGCAATTCTACGATGGGTACATGGCCTACACCAAAGAATGCTTCGCCATCCTGATTACATGTCTCACCCAGTGGTGGGCTCCGACTGTCGTCCGTGTATCTGGCGACTCCAGCATGGTCGGCCAACTTATCAAACGCAAAGACGGATCATTACAATGCAACTTTGCCGATCGCATGGTTCTCATGGCAAACCATCAGCTCTACACTGACTGGCTGTATATCTGGTGGATCGCGTATACAAACAACATGCACGGCTTCATCTACATCATTCTGAAAGAGTCGCTGAAGAACATTCCGATCATTGGATGGGGTGCCCAGTTCTACAACTTCATCTTTCTATCTAGAAAATGGGAGGAAGACCAGCGCACATTCAAGAAGCATCTCAGCAAACTGAACAAGAAGGGAGATCCCATGTGGCTCATCATCTTTCCTGAGGGCACGAATCTGTCGAAGACTACACGCGAAAAGAGCCAGCAATGGGCGAAGAAGAATGGGTTGCAGGACATGAAGCACCAACTGCTCCCACGCAGCACTGGTCTTAAGTTCTGCCTCAACGAACTGAGAGAAACGACAGATTGGCTGTACGATTGTACCATCGCATACGAAGGCGTGCCAGAAGGTCAATTCGGTCAAGACATTTTTACCCTCCGCTCTTCTTTCTTTGAAGGCAGGCCGCCGAAGTCAGTGAACATGCACTGGCGACGATTCAACCTCGACGATATCCCATATGAGAACACACACGCTTTTGAAGTCTGGCTGAGAAACCGTTGGAGAGAGAAGGACTACATGCTAGAGTACTTCAGTCGCCACAACCGCTTTCCCGCAGAAGATTTCTGGAAGAACCACCTGGACATGGACACCAAGAGCGAGAGCAGCAGAGGCGGAAACAAGACCATCCGAACCGTCCCCCGCCCAGCAGTACAGATCGAAACCGAAGTCAAGAGCGGCAACTGGAACGAGTTCGTCAAGATTTTCGCTCCGATAACCTCCGTCATGATGGCTCTAACCGTAGCCTACGGTGCATCCCCCGAAGACCTACCCATACCCGGCGCCAAAGAATTCTTCCAAACGCACATGAAAACACTGCTAGGTCAAGGCGGCGACATCAAAGGCCTACCAAGCCCCGAGCAACTAGAAAAAATGATAGAAGGCGCCGCGAAAATGGGCGCCGCACAAGCCGCAGGCCCAAAAGAAGTACCAGAAGTACAACGGCTTACGCAAGAAAACCTCGCCAAACTAGTCAAAGAAACAGCTATTGCAAGCGGCGCTGTAATGCCCAACGGGATGAGAAGAGCAAGTACAGCATTGCCGCCACCAATGACCAAGACGCTGCAAACGCCTACTACTGTGACCCCAGCGGTAAGACGAGCTCAAAGCGCGGTAAACCTCCCAACATCCTCAGCGAAGAAACCCACAGCCGCAACACCTAAACCAGGCACCGCCGCACACGCCCGCGCGAACCCCGCGACAGCAACCAAGAAACCCACTCCATCTCCACCCACAGGTCCCATGAAGGAAATGATGACAGCCTCAGGCGTCATGATCAAAATCCCTCAAACCGAAGTCGAACAAGCCAAGAAAACAGGCACACTAACCATGGCAAACGGTGTGAAGATCAAGATCGGCAAAGAAGACATCGAAAAAGCGCAGCAGGAGAAGAAGGGGACTACGTTCATGACGGCAGGCGGTGTGCCCATCAAGGTGACACCCAGCGGTGCTGTGCAGGTGCCTGAGAAAGTGAGCAACAAGGGGCAAGCGGCGGCAGTGAAGAAGACGGGGGAGTTGGCGGGGAAGATGGGGGATTTGTCTGCGCCGGCGAAGAAGGCGCCTGCTAAGATAGGGGGTGCGACGAATGGGACTGCGAAGAAAGGGACTGTGGGGAATGGGGCGGCGAAGAAACCGGCTGCTGCGGCTCCGAGGAAGCTTTGAGATGAGATGACTGTTATGAGGATAAAGGTATAGGGTTTTTTTTGGGTATAGTATAACCGGGGTATTTGTTTGGCGTTGAGCTAGTATATATGACTAGGTCTTGGATAGTTTGTTTGCTTGTATGCAAGAATATCGACATGCCATCATTGGATTTGAAGCAAAATTGCCTATCCCATGCATCGATACAGTGTTATATGGCCGGCCCCCCAGTCTCGGTCGTCGTACCGGAAGAACCCATAACCTCAGACACTGATCTTACTAACCGCTATACCAAGTCGTTTTCTTGACCTGCGTATCCATCCATTCTGATCGTTCGAGTATTCGTCCGTCGTTGGTCTTTGCGCCACTAAACAAGAAGCGGCGTTAATACCTCAATCTCTCTAACAAATTGATGAACGGAGAGGACGAAGAAGAAAAATCCAAAACAACCATCCAACAAGACCGTGCATCAAAATCCTCTTGTATAACAACCCACAAATCCTCACAACGGATACCACAGCAACAACAACACGAAAAAAATCCATGTACAACAAACATTACCTCTTTTTCCTCGCAGCCTCCTCCTGCTGTAACTTGTGCATCTTAGCTCTTGCGCTCTTGCTGCCACCCAACTTGGGTCCTGTTATAGGCGGCGGCGCGCCCTTGACGGGGGGAGCAGGTGGTTTCCTCGCTTGTTGTTTCGCTTCCATAGATTCAAAATATTCGTTGCGGAACTGCTCGACGAGGGCGTCGTCGGTGTTGGTGGAGGTGTTGGCGTGGGGGTTTGCGGGGGTTGTGGAGTCGAAGAAATCGACTGCGTGGGGATGTTAGTGAGGAGGTTTGTGAGAGGGGGAAGGGAGAGGAGAAGGGAACGTACGTTTTGCTTCTTTCAGTACGGCTTCAACCATCTGGTCGCGACGTTTGTCTTCTTCCGTCTTGCCGTTGGCTTTGGGCTTGCGCCACGCGTAGCCATACTTGTCTCGTCGCGCTTTGCTGGCTGGCGGTTCTGGCTCGCCCTTGTCCCATCGTTTCCAGGCTTGTTCGGTGCGCGCCGCAGCATCAGGGCCCAGGTCCACTTCCTGAAGCTTGCCCTGGCCTGCCGCCAACCGGTTGCTATGTTCGTTATCCGCAGGACTCTCGGTGCTACTGGTCGGGCCCTGTGTCGATGAACTGGTGGCGAAGGTATGTCGCAGATCTGGTGCGATGGCTGCTACGGAAGCCTGGAGGTGGTTTGGTATGGGCCAGCCGTACTGGCGATAGTTCTTTTCAGCCATGCGGGCTTCTACATATTCCGACCTGGCACATTAGCCTCCATGCTTGACGGTGCCCTTATCCGAGCCTGGTTGTAATCTGGCGAAGAGTCCACTCACATCTGCTTGTCATCGCGATCTACCACCTGTCCCGTCTGCGCGACGAAGCGGCTGGTATACTGGTCTGGCCGGGGCGCTTCTACTTGCACCGCCTCTGTCCGCGGCGGCTCTGCTTTGCGCGTAGTTTCCTTCAGTCGGTCGCGGGGCCGCTTTCGGTTGCGCAATATCTCTTTCAGGTTCGGCACCGACCTTTCTTCATCGTTGGCTTCGGTCGGCGAGGCAGGCGCGTCGTTGGGAGTCGCAGCAACGGGCGCATGTGAGGCGGAAACAGCAGGCGCATCGTCTTCGGTATAGACGCGCTTCGGGTGCGCGATCTTGCGGCGCTTGAATCGTATGGTGGGGACTGCCTCGTCTTCTTGTGCCGTCGACATGCTGGGCAGTTGCGGGAGAGTCGGGAGTGAAGCGTGGGTTGGAGAGGTAGAGTTTCGGAGGACGACCTGGGCCGAGGCGTGAACCACCCAAGGGTCCAAAGCGTCATAAGCCTTTCACCCCCGAGGTCTTACCTAAACTTCATGACGGAGGCTAAACATCGTTCGCATAACCAGAGCATCATCTACGTACATCTGGAGCTAGACGCGATCTGGGGTTGCAGGAGCGCAATAAGACTGCGGTACCCTTTTATGCATGCATCATCTGACGACGATTAACAGACGTAGAGCACCTACATGGCGTGACACTCAGCTCATAGGACGACCACGTAGCCGACTTCCACTGTCGCGTACTAAGAGTTACATTCCAACTCTCATCCTCTTCAGCAGCTGCCTCTGCCGTTACTTCATTACACATCACATCACAATTCAACCCCATGCCTTCGCATTAAGAATTTTGTTCATTGCGATAAAACATATGTACTCTCAGCCTACTATACAGGAAGCCAGCCGCCGTAACGCTCAAACGCCCAAGTCATACCCGGTACATTGAGTAGCGAAGGACTGAATGCAGGTAATATCAGGAAACTTCCCTTTCCAACCATCCTTCTCGTCCCCTTGGTATCAATTTACATCATCATTGTCATCGTTCTTCCTAAGCCGTCGCTGAGGAAACAGTCTCAATCTCCACCTTTGGCAGCGGCGCCGACTTGCCGCCAAGGTCTGTTTGCCGTGCGTTGGGGTTCTTGGTGTAGTAGTTGGAGATGGCGGATTTGATGGCGTCTTCAGCAAGCATGGAGCAATGCACTGCAAGCAGTTAGTATTCTGGTCCTGGTTCTCGCTTTCGTGTTGTGGGATACTCACGCTTTACAGGTGGTAGGCAAAGCTCCTTTGCAATCTCTGTGTTCTTGATCCTCGACGCATCCTCCAGTGTCATGCCCCGGACCAATTCCGTCAGGTAACTCGAACTCGCAATCGCGCTGCCGCAGCCGAAGGTCTTGAACTTGACGTCGCTAATGGTGTTGCTGTTGGGGTCGACACGGATCTGGAGCTTCATGACGTCGCCACATGCGGGTGCGCCGACTAGTCCAGTACCGACGTCGTTGTCCGTCTTGGACATGGAGCCGACATTGCGAGGCTTGTTGTAGTGGTCGAGCAGTGCTGCGAATGTTAGCTGAGCGTTCTCAGATATAATTAGTCGGAGATGGTGGTGCGATGACGAGGTGATTCCGATCGGACTCCCGTGTCGCCACCACATCGATTTTCCGAACAAGAGGGGAGGGCGACTTATCTTTCTCGTGGTACTGTCGCCGACCGACTGCTGAGACTGCGGGTGCTGCTGTGCGAATGGGCGAAACGATGCTGGGCCTGGCGGCGGTTGCAAGCACTCTTCCTGCCTGAGCGGGCACTGCTGCTGCGACTCTCCTGAACATGGTGGCGATCGATGTGTGTGGTGTTTTGAGGTTCGGTAGTATCTTTGGTGAGTTTTGGGAATAGTTCGGGTAGCGGTTGGATGTTGGTGTAGGTGTAGCGGAGGTGGATGGCGACGGACAATTGAAGTAATGATGAAAAGCCACGCCCGGCCGCCGGCGACGTAATGTCCGTGCGCACACATACCCCACACTTATCATGGAATCATCTCGGAGAACCGCTCCAGATCACCGGCGAACGAGTACTATCTCCGTTCGTCCTGCTATCAGATGGAACTTCAGCTCCATTCATATCGCCTACAGCCATGCTGATGCTATCTAGCAGCTTGCGCCGCAATGCTCCCAATCCGCTCTCGTTTCGCCGTTTCATCAATGCTAATGCTAACCCGACACAACTCCGCTTTCGCTATGCTAGTCCGTGGTGAGGGACCTAGACCCGCTGTCTTACAAACGTCGGAAGAAATACACGTAGGCAAACTTCTTCATCTCTTCAATGTCCGCCGCCTTGGCCACCTTCTCGTCATTGAAAAGAACCCATGACGCAGCCTGCTCGCCTGGCAACTGCTTGCGCACAAACGCAACGTAGTGTCTATGGCGTGTTAGCGAATCCTCTACCGTGATAGTCCAAATGCGGAAAACTTACCCGGCGTGTATCGAACTACCCTTGTGGCATACTATCGACTGGAGCTGGAAGTTTGCAGGCAGCGTCTCACTACCAGCCAACTTCTTCTCTGTTGGCTCCGCAGGTGCCTCGGAGCTCCCACCTTCGTCGAAGTCGCCTGGGGCATCGGGGTGGCTGAACAGCCAGTCGACAGCGCGCTCCATGTCACCACCCGTCTCCTTCAGAGCCTGGCGTGCCTGTGGAGCGTTGAAGCCCATAGCTCCTAGGTTCTCGATTTTTTCAGGGTCGAGAACGGATGCAGCGGCTGCGCCTCCACCAGAACCAGCGTTGAAGTCGACCGGGTCGTCGATATCTGGGTCCTCCATATGTCCAATCAGCCAGTTCATCGCTGCTTCGGCATCTTCGTTACCAGTAGCATGTAGAGCCTTTTCACATCGAACCCGAGGGAATCCCATAGCCTCAAGCATTGAAAGTGCCGCCTCGTTAGGCGACCACTTCGAACCGCCGGACGCTCCTGTGTCTACATCCTCCGGGAGGAGCTCCTCACCTTCTACCAAACCGTTTGACTTGTAGGCATCGAAGGAGAAAGGTTCATCGTTGACAATGACAGGAACATCCTGCTTGGTAGGCACCCAGTTGACCAGTTCAAAGCGTCTAGCGTTGACAGCCAACACTGATGGGAAGGTCTTGAACATGCTCCTCTTCGTAAAGCCATCCTTGCTGCCACATGCACCGCAGGTAAGCTCAACCAATTCCTCGGCTGTGAAGATATCGAGACACTCCTTCAATGTGACCGGCTCGAACTCTTCCTTTTCTTCTTTCTTGCCGTCGCTGTTGGTGACGTCCATCTGGGAGTCTTTCGGTATCCGTCGGATGGGGACCGGGATGGAAATGTTCTCCTGCTCGTCTGTCTTGTAACGAACGCGCTTGCAACTGACACATTGTAACCGCTGTTCCATAGCAAAGCGGAAAGCACCAACCGGATCCTTATGGGGCTCAACGTGCTTGCTGCGTGAAACAAGTTGGAGTACGTGTAGAAGCAGTTCGAACGCGTCCTGTTGTCGCATAGTCGAGAACTCAGCGTGGCCTCGTCCGATCAGATGCTTGAGCATGGCAGGCGCGAGGCCGCGCTGGTGTGGAACCTCTGGGTTGTGCTCGTTGGTGATGACGTCGCTATCTGGCTTTGAGTATCGACCTGAAATCATGCCGTCTGCGATTTTGCGCATCTGAGTTTCCAAGTCCTCTGCAGGGAGTGGCGCATCTGGCGGAGCTTCGTTGGGAAGGTAGTAACGATCTTTGAACTCTGGAATGGAGAACAAGGCCTGCAAGGTACTGTTCAGGTAGCAGCTGTTGCCAAGGTTCTTCAGGCCCGTGAAGTCTGGTCCGAACAATGGCTGCAGTTCCTTGCCGTCTTCGGTCACCATAGCAAAGTCCCAGCGCAAGTTCTGTTCGACCTGCATCTCCGTAAGACTCTTCTCTGTCTTCACCCTGTCCTTAATGTTGATGCCCCAGTGTGCTAGGTGGTCCGGTAGTTCTGGGTCGATGCGCTCTTCGTCACAGGCGTAGCAGTAGATATCAGCCGTGCCATCCGCGGTAAGAGATCCGAGCTTGACCGCAACAGGATGGCCAGTCGATTTGGTGTGTCCAACACCGTGTGAGTTGCCACCAACGCCACCGAACTGCTGACGACCACAACCCAGATTGCCGCAGGTCAAGCAAAGCCAGAGGTTTTCATTAAGCTCGCACTCCGAGCAGTGTCCCAGGTTCTGCGACTCGATCTGTCGCGTCGTTTGTTGTTCCAGACAGAGGGTATGTTCGCAAGCAGTCAACTCCTGTTCCCACGCCTTGACCTCCTGCTGCTTCGCGAACGTGTTCGCCTTGAGAACTGCGTCCACAATGTTGGGTAGCTTCCCCGAGCTCTTGTCTACATCGTCAACCCCGCACTCGTAGCACTTGACTTGTGTCGTGGTATCGTAGCGGTCTGCCTCGGTCTCAGCTGCGACAGCAAGCTTGGTCATCTTCTGAGGAGGTTCATCGCGCTTGACCCTCTTTCGCGTGCGCTTGATATTGAGGACGAGGGGGTGGTTCGTGGACGACACGTGGAGGAGCGAATGGTTGCGATCGCTCGTACACCCACCATTGAAGCAGTAGAGGCACACGTCGAGGCCGGTGGGGTCGTCGATCGAGTCGAAGCACTGGGTGCAGTCCTCCCGGTACACGGAATGAGTTGGCCCTGGTGGATGAAGCTCTGGGGCGTGTTAGTACTGTCTAGGGTGAGGATGTAGCCATAGAGCAAATGAAGGCGCCTGAAGCATGTTTGCCACCCTTCATTTCTTTTGCTATTCGAGAGTAGAGTCTGGGGACAGGTACGGGTGCTTACCGGGTGCGTTTACGTGCGTACAGGCCATGTTTGGTCAAAGTTGATGTGGGTAAGGTACGGTGTAGAAAGTCGCGACGGTTTGCACGTAAATTCGGTTGTTATGACATAGGCTAGGCTTCTAGAGCTCCTCCCCGCGGCGGGGCAAACAAAAGTGGATACCTGCCACCAATACCGAAAGAAAGGTAGTCACCACGCGACAGCTCCACTCTGGCTAAGAAGTCACGTCTGAGTTCAAACAAGTTGGAAAATTGTATTAACGTTCCTTTGGCTTGATTTCATGGAGAGGATACCGGACTTGAAGGAGTCTCAACAATTTCATAGATCGAGGCTTACGCAAGATATGCTATCAGAACCACACGCTTGTACTTATACATCATCACCTATTTCCCCTGCTGTCGTGCGTTGACAGACCAGTTCTGGAACTGAGTAAACAGCACAGGCTGTAGCGGAGACTTCTTGTCAGCAAACCACTGCTTCTGCGTCTCAGCATAGACGTCCACCACACCAGCATAGTTTCCCTTATCAAGGCCAACAAGCACCTTGACTACGTGTAGACTGGCGGAGCCACATGCATCTGCATGGACTTTTGAGCCGTTGCCTAGCTTCGCCTCCTCGTGAATACCCTTCAGCAGCTCCCATACATCCTCGACGTTCTCCGGCTTCGGGAGAGGTGCTTTGCGCTTCGTGCGGGTGTCGAAGAACGACTTTAGCATCTTGGCCGCTTTGTCTGCCGTCTGCTTGTTTGCGTTTGCTCGGGTGCGACGGAGTACTGGGAGGAGGATGTCCAGAGTGAGGGCGTTGGAGTATTGCTTCTCCATGTACACAGCAAGTAGATCCAGGACTCTTGACTTGAATTGTACGACATTCTGCTTTGCGTCCGTTCGCTCCTTCTTCTTGCTGGTTGTCTTGCTGCGCTCCTTGAAAATCTTGCTGAGATGTGGATCAAGCGCCATCATCTGGTCGTCATCCATGTCTGACTCGTCAGATGTCTCTTCTGCTGCCTCTCCGTCGATGGTCGGCTTCGAGGTCTGGAGGGTCATAGCGAGCATGTTGTCGAACTGAGTCAGCTCTGCGTCTTCCTCCTCAGTTTCGTCGCTATTGCCATCATCAGAGCCTGACTCGGAAGCATCGTCGCTGTCCGGCTCTTCTCCATCAACCATCTCAACGTCTGAGTCGTCCTCATCGTCATCGCTTGAGCCTTCCTCCTCCGCGTCTTCATCGCCCTGATTGAACAATTCTTTCTGTCCTTCAAGGTTCTCTTCGGTATCCAGGATCTCTGTCAATGAGCGCAACCCTTCGGCACTGATCTCGGATGCGAATATAGAGAAAGCTTCTTCGCCGATTCGTCGGAACAACGTTCGTTCATTTCCTGAGAAAGAGAGTACGATCTCGACGAAAGCATTCTGGCCATCGGAAGTTGAAGCCTTGCTCTTCTTCTTCGATGACGCCTTTCGCGATGCCTCGAAGGCCTTGTAGGAAGCATCGAGGTCATCGAGCATCATGACGGCATCGCCCTCGCCGTTGTAGGCTTGTAAGAGGGTCAGAGAGTACAGAAGCAGGAAGCCCTGTGCTGACATCTCATTGCCAGCTATTGATCCCTGGTGGCACTGCGTTAGTCAAACACAAGATAAACAGGAGAGGGTATACATACTGTCGCAGAGATGGCGTCAATGGTGCTAAGCGCCTTCTCCATGGTACTCAGAACCGATTCATCTGCTTTGAAAGCAAGATCCAGTTTTGCAGACTTGCCATTCCTGGCTCTTATCATGTCCAACACCATGAAGGCAATATCTGACCGAGCCCCCAACTTTACGTCCAATAACTTCGTCAAACAGGATGATAACCGCTCTTGAAACATCGTCCGACTGCGGTCACTGACAGGTGGAAGAGGCATTTTCTTCGTATCCGCCTTCTTTGAGGGAATGAAGTAGGCAAACTCCACCAGTGTCTCCAGGATCTCCCGCAGCCAATTGGACTTTCGGTCTTCTGCAGCGCCACCTT